AAAAAAAAAGTACACAGAAAGGTGTGTATAGGTACTGCACCCCTATCGTACCATGTTATATAAGGAATTTGCACACCAGTGAATTTGGGTATCTGTGGAGGGGAGTCCTAGATCCAGTTCCTAGGAGATACTCAGAGACAGCTGTGTTCCACAATGCTCTGTAGCCAGAAAGAGGTTAATAGAACTATAAATGTTCAGAGTAGAGTTCTAGAGTTTGTAGGAGAGAACTGAGTGTGGAACAAATGATTTACAGATTCAAAAAGATAAGGTCTTACGAGGATCAGGGCCATCTCCAGGGAGCTCATCTTACAAAGTTTTGTATCAATCTATACTCTTAACACTATTCCTTTTGATGCCCTCAGGCTTTGTGGAATGTGGCTTTTTTGGGCTTATGTCTCTATACACTTATTTATTTATTTATTTATTTATTTTGGTGGAACTGGGGATCAAACTCAGGCCCTTGTGCTTGCCAGGGAAGCACTTATTCCACTGAGCCATCTCCCCGGCCCCTCTTTTCTTTTTTATAAACACCATTTTTTTTAATTGACAAGGTTTATAGGAACAAATTAAAAATTTAAAGTCAAAAGTCAAATTTTAGGTCTCAGTTGCTTATCTAATTCATTTGTATTCAGTGTACTTTTCTCTAGTGTCCTAACTTTGTCAAGAAACAAGCCAAATCTGTGAAAATACCTCTTAACATTCAGCATGTATCATTTTTACATATTTCTATTATATGATGCAAAGATTTTAAAACACTCAATTGGTACCTCAAATACCTAACTCTGTCATAAGCAGCATGTTTCATTCTAAAATTCAGAGAAAGGTTATTTAGTAAACTAATTAAGACAGGCAATTTAAAAGACATACTTCAGTCCTTTAAATTTAGGGAGTGGTCCATATATTGATCACATGGAATCCTGATTGGCCAAAATGTAAAACCCAACAAACATTGAATTTCTTTTTTTTTTTTTTTTTGTGGTACGAGGGATCGAACTGAGGACCTTGCTCTTGCCAGGCAAGCACTTATTCCACTGAGCTATCTCCCTGGCCCCCAAACATTGAATTTCTTTAATGCTAAAAATAAGTACAGTATATGATGACTTTTGAGAAATACTTTGTCAGAGATATCTGCTACTGCATTCTCTTCTGGCATTATAGCTAGTACTTTTATCATAATTATGAAGGTGGCCAGGTTTCCTGTAAATATAAGCATTTTATATGGTCAGAAGCAGTTAATAAAAATGTTACTTAATATAGGCCAAATGTGGAGTTGGGATGTAGCTCAGCAGCTTAAGTGTCTGCCTGGCAATTGCAAGGTCCCGAGTTTGATGTCCTGTACTGCTAAATAAATAAAGAAAAATATGTAGGCCAAATGTACTTAATGTTAACTTTCCCAAAGGTTTTGAAGCTTTCATATGTTGATTTTGGTCTGTCCTTAATACGAAACATGATCTACGATTTTGTAGATAACATTAAAACATAAATCGATGATACATTTAAGGCAAAGCAGAACTAGAATCACTGAATCCCGACTTCCACTGCTTCATTACACTGTCTGGCTAACACTGGCGCTTTATAGTTTACAAGTGTAAAGTACCTACCTACATGAGTTTAAAAATTAATCTGACAAAAGAAATTTAAAAAGCTTTATATACAACAAACTTTTTTAAAAATACAAAAATAACATCTTGTCACTTCTGTCATACTGACAACTTGGCGTATATATACATGCAAATGAAGTTCCAATTCAGTTATCCAGACAGTTTGTGTAATTTAGTGTAATGAACACAAAGACACTGAGTTCACTGACAGAAGAGCTGTGTATTTAAAATATTTTATACACTAATTACTGTAATAGTTTCTGCATGTATAAATGCCACCTATATTTTTGTTCTACTTGATGAAAAGTATATCTTAAGCAAGCTACTATTAAGTGCACTAAAACCCATAATTCAGGAATCTATGGCCTTATAAAAGAAATTCAAAATGTATAAAATACAGTTATAAAAGCAAGTAACAATTCTTGCCATGCAACGTTTTAATCTAAAAACAGCATAGAAATGCAGTTTAAAATGACAAACTCAAATTTACATTAACACCCAAGATAAAAAAGGTCAGCAGTAAGTTCTACCAACACAAGAATTAAGAAAAAGAAATACATTCCCTTTGCTGGTATAATGTATACATCAGATCTTCCGATCTATGGGAACAAGTCATCTTTGTCTTCTATCTCAAGAAATCAGCTGTTTTCTAGTTGTTCTTATGAAATCTTTTCTCTCAGTTAATCATAAGTGGGTTAATTATCATGTACCTCTTTGCAAATCTGCTTCATTGTGACTTCCTCCAAATTAGCATTCGCCAATAATTTCTTTACTGTTTCCTTTAACTCTTCATCTGCAGGTATTTTCTTCAGTTTTTAATTAAAGGGTCATCATCTGAACTCCTCAGATTCACTTTCTTTTTTTGGAACTGTTCTGATTCTTCTTTGTGGTGCTGCTGTCTGCCTTCTTTATATTAGCACTTTTTACATTTAGAAGTAGCTTTCTGTTTAGGTTTTTCATTTTTAGATGTCTTTTTTGGTGGCTACTCCTCTTCACTTTCTTTATCTTCATCTGAAGACTCTTGTTTTTCTTTTCATCTTCATCACTACTGGATTCATCCGGCAGAATTTCAAGGCATTTATTTGCTTGGCCTCCTTGCCATTCTAGAACTGTGTGGTTCCTTTTTATTTTTTACTGCCTTTGCTAGAATTTTTTGTAGATTTTGGCAATGGTTTACCTGATGGTTTTGGATGCATTAGAAAATTAAGAACCTCTTCATCAGTTCACTATTTACACCCAATCTTGCCAAATCAAGAATTTCACATATACTCTTTTTTTTTTCTCTTTTCAAAGAAAGTGTTTTGTTTTGTTTTGTTTTGTTTTGTTTTGTTTTGTTTTGTTTTTGCTCCAAATGCCTTCAAGGCATGACTGGCTGGCTTGTGTTGTGGGGATGGAACCACAGCAACCTGAGCCTGACTGCTTTGTTGAAGCAGCCACTTAAAGAACTGAGCTAAGGGGCAGGCCCCTCACATATACTCTTTAACATGGCATTTCTAAACTTTTTCAACATTTCTTCCTTCCTTTTATATTGTATGTTTCCTTTTTGAAACAGAAAGCCACTGAACTAACCCACATTCTTCTTTAATTGAAGACACTGTACTAGGTCTGTTGTAAAGCAATTTGTGTAAATTTCTTAGTTTCTTAGAAAGAAATGTATCCTTTCAATTTCACAGTTTCTGTCCTTTTCCTTGTGCAATTGTAAATGGTCCTCTTTGTAAGGAAGACACTTGCATTGTCAGCCTCTCTACTTTCTTCTTTTCCTTCTTGCCTTCCGCAGTGAGACTCTTCTCTTTCTCTTCCTCCTCGCCTTGTCATTGTCCTCTTCCTCCTCACTGTCCTCTCGTGGGTCAGCACGTCGTCGGGCTCCTTCTCAAATGCGGGCTGGACGGGGCTCCCTCTGCCTCAGCAGCGGGACCGAGGAGGCCATGCTGGGGACCGCGGGTCCGGCCGCTGCGGGGTGGAAGTGAGAGGCTCAGGGGTTCACAGGAGGCGGCAGAGGCCCACGCCGGGAAGAAGGCACGCGGGCTGCTGTCCTGCGTGACACGTGCGCCGCGCTCGGCTCCAGGGAATCCTCTATGCCTTCTTGTATGAGCAAATGGTTGATTATTTGACCCTTCCTGGCCCCTGTATGTGTTTGTGACCCTGGGAGGATGCTTGGAGGTGTGTAGAGGCTTTGTACTGGAACCTGTTCCTTACTTTGAAGGGAGCAGATACCACCTCCTGGTTGCTTCATGATGTCTCAGCTTTTTCAGTGCATCTAAACAGCTAGGTGGCTGGATTAAATTAGTGGTGATGTGTGACAGAGGGTGAGAGGGAGAAAGGGGTCATGAGTGGGCTTAGATTTGGCTTCCTTGCAGTTAGCTCAGCTCAGTCCTGCCCATGAAAGCAAAGAACTCTTGCAGCTTAAATCCAAGACCCAGGCTTTGCTGGAAACACGTGTTTTCTAAAATCCCACGAAGAAGAAGTAGGAGAAACTGGGCCTATGCCTCTGTTATGTGTATGGCCCATACTCTGGTAATCCTGTGCTCTTTACTCTAGTGAAACCAACCTGAAAGTGAAGCAGGCCATCTCAGTTACCAGTGAACTGGAAGATAACTTGGAACTGCTGTCTGCTTTTGATGGTGAGTTAGGAAATAAAGTTGCCCACCCAAACTTTCATCAATAAAGGATGGGCTACCTAATGCATAGTATATCCTTATAGGAAGTTCCATACAACTTATTATTGAAATATACAAGTTGATATTTATTGACGTGGAAAATACTTATATTAATAGGAGAAAAATATAGATTACAAAAGACTAAATAGTATATAAACAGAATCCTATTTTGGAAACATGATTGAGTGCATTATAGGAAAATAATTGAGATAGCTCAGCAGACTAAAGCACCTGTTTAAGCAGGCGCAGCAACCAGGGTTCAATCCCTGTCCTGCAGAGCTGGCCCCACCCCCTGGGGCAAGCTGAGACGGGCACTGAGACTGAGCATGGTGGCTTGCGTCTGTAATCTCCGCCCTTGGGAGGCTGAAAACAGGAGGATCACTACAAGTCCAATCTGTGTAGTGAAACCCTGTACTTAAATACAAAAAAAAAAAGGAAAATAATGGAAAAGTTATAATTCAAAAGATTAATAGTACTTTTCTCTAGACAATGGGTAGGACTTTCTTCCTTTCTTTCTTTCTTTTTGTCTTTTTGAGACAGGGTTTGGCTATGAAGTTCAAGCTGGACTTGAGCTCACTTTGTAGCCCAGGCTTGTCTCAAACTCACAAGGATCTTCTTGTGTCAGCCTTCTAAGTGCTGGCATTACAGACATACAACACCACACCCAGTTTTTTAAAAAATAATTTTATTGAGAAACAAATAGCAATGAGATAGTTTCCAAACTGATTAATAGGACAGTTTTAATAATTAATACATTGCACATTGTCTTCGTAGTGGTTATTCATTGTACGAGATGCAGACATGATATCCTGTCCAAACACTATTAGTACAAATCTTTCTTCTCATTGAATTAAGCCAAAGTAGCTGTATATCTATCCTAATTATTTTGTATCTACAGATACAAAATGGTCCTTCATTTGTATCTCTCTTTTTTGTTTAGCTTTGTCAGAGATGGGTATTCCATTGCCATTTAAATATTGTAGGTGTATGAATTCAGCAAAATAATCCAATATGGTCCAGTAGTCCATAATAGTAGTGAGATATCCATAGGACTGACAATGTCAGAAGTGGTTGACTTGAGCCTTTTACAGCTCAGCATATTAATATGGCTTTACTTTTTATACCTCGTGTTTATAAAAACACTGGATGGTTAAGACCAAGATAAAGCAAGACCTATATAACAAGAAATGTAACTTTTGTATCTGACCAGGTCAGTCAAATCCCCCCAGGATTTATCCTGAAACCCTGCACCACAGTTTGTAGATCCTTTGTCAGTGTCAGCCATGTGGATAAGTCACAGCTATTGCTTGACCAATTTGCTCTCTGTGAAAGCCTGAGGAAATGTTTTCTCTCCATGTGACTCTCCTTAGGCACATTCTACATCATCGATCATTTTCCTCTGTGGCCCCATAATCTCCTTGATCAGAAAATTTGGGGCACAACTGAGTTACATGATGTTACAGTACAAGCTCTCCTATGTTCTGAATCCTCACTGACTTTGAAAGGCTAGGGCCAAAATATTGGCTGTCCTTGCAGCCCTTCTTTTTCTCTAATTCTTGGTCTGCAAACTTAAGTTGTTAACCCTCCAGAAGAGAAGCTCATTATTACTACCCTACAACATAGGCAATTGAGCTTCACCTCACTATCTGTCTGAATATCAAACATCTTAGACATAGCATGGAATAGGTATTTTCCATCCAGTATTAATATGTTAAACTTTAAATCCCTACAGAATATGAAGAAAAGAATTTTAGAAATTAAAAAAGGAATAAACAATTACATATTTTTATACAGAAATTTAGAATTCTAACCATATACAGCACTGTAGCAGGACAGTCCTATGACATTTTTTCTTGTCTCTTGTTTTCATTTATGACCCTTTTTTTTTAAACAACCATTTACTTGAGAGACAGTATGAAAGTAATTGGTATGACCACACCCAGTTTAGATTTTATTTTCACTATCATTTTAACATTCCATAAATATTTATAGGGGACTTGGGAGATAGCTCCTAGTCTAAGGAGTTGCCTGGCAAGTACAAGGTCGGGAGTTTGATCCCCAGTAATACATGCCATGCTAGTCTCTGAACCCCAGGGATGGTGGTACACACTTGTAATCCTAGTGCTGGGAAGGCTGAGACAGGAGAATCACTATAAATCTGAGCTGCATAGCAAGACCCTGTACCAAATGACTAAGTAAATAAAAATTTTAAAATAAATTTTAAAGATGTATAGGGACATATTTACTTTATTAATCATGAAAAAGTTAAATTATTTCCATTTTTTTAAAAAATACACTTAGTATTTTATTGCTTTATATACTTTCTTCAAATTCAGAGGCAGCCAATCTGACAGTACTAATGGTGGTGTTATCGTATAGGTTTTTCTCTCTCTGGATGATTCATGTCAGATTCAGAATTATTCTTCCTTGATGCCCAGAAATTTTTGTCCGCTTTTCTAAAGGAAGCTAGTAACATAGAGGGAGTCACTGGGAGAAGATAAGAAAAAATGGGATAATTTGAAAGAGGTTTTCCTTTTGCTTTTCTATTGAGTCTCCTTCCATTTGGTTAGGAAAACCAAAGATGATGATGATGATGATAATGATGATGATGATTTTTCTGCAGGAGAAGTAAAGTGTGATCTTCCCAATAATAAGTTGGACAAATTTACAGGCACCCTGACCTATAAAGGGAAAAAATATTCACTAGGCCATGACAAGCTGCTGCTTCGAGGCTGCATCATCAGGAATACAGACTGGTGCTACGGCTTGGTGATTTATACTGGTACGTTTCCCTGCGGTCACAGCCAGGCTCAGCCTGCTGGAGTCCATTCATGACTGAATTAGAGAGTGCTTCATTTTTAGAGTATGGACATGTCACTTAGATATATGGATATAGATACAGATAGATGATATAGATATAGATATAGATATAGATATAGACACTATGGCTTAGAGCTAGATATGTAGGATTGTGGATGGATGGATGGATGGATGGATGGATGGATGGATAGATGGATGAAGAAAAAACTTATTTCTTAGGAAGAAAAGGGATTTCTTTTTCCCAGGTAATACACTGTCAGCTACCAGCTCCACCTTCATTAGAAGTCTTTTGTGTTTCAAGAGCACAGGTCATTCTTTCCAGCCATATGTGTACAGAGATGGATACATATAAAGAAAGAAAAAGAGAATTAGGATGTGAAAGGGGAGATTATGCCTGTGGATTACTCCCACTGAAAGAGAATAAAAGCAATGCTTATTATGTGCTTATATTATATAATCTAAAATTATATTAGAGAGCCTGTACCACATTAGTAGTGCCTTTCTTCAAGTAATCTTTAGAACCACAATCCATAATAATTAGCAAGGCATTTTCCTGGATTGTGTTTCAAGAAAATAGAGAATACTTCTGTGCCATTCTACACCCTCAGTGACAATCAGTGTGCACTGATGACTATATTAGTCAACTTTCTGGTATTGTGATAAAATACCTGAGAGAAACAGATTGCAAGGAGGGAAGATTTACTTGGCTCCTAGTTCCAGAGATTTCAATCCCTGATCACATGGCCCTGTTACTCTGGAACTGTGGTGAGGCTGAACAACATGCTGGGAGTGCATGGTAGAGTGAAGCCACTCACCTCAGGGTTTTAGGAAGCACTAAGAAGAATTTACTATGGAGAACACTGTTCAGCTCAGATTCCCAGAATTCCCCTTCTAGAAAGTCTACTCCTAGTCATGGGGCTCCTGCTCTTCCTCTATGGAAAGTAAGGGGACCATACCCCACGGAGGCACTTTTTAAGGATCCCACTACTTTGGTCCCTAAAGCTTCAAGGTTCTGTGCCAAACTCCTTGTGACCTCGAGCCCTGGATGAAATGCTTCAAAGAAAAGAATGGTGTTTGCCTACATACCAGGAATTTGTAAATATTGATGAAATTCCTTTCTTAGAGCACATGTAAGAATGATAATCAGATGTTAAAAGGCCAGAGAAATTGCTACTTACAGTTTCTTCTAACCCTCTTATGCTTTTTTACTCTGTGGCCATATCTCTAATCAGTAATTTGCAACTCTAGTCCCAGTGGCTATTAAGAGCTTCTCACTTCTAATTATTATCTGCCATGTCATGAAGAAACATTGGGTCATTCAGCCCCAAAGAAGCCTCAGCTCCTCATCTTCTGCCTCAGGAGAAACCACTGTCACTGCCTTTGTCTTCCATTCTCAGTTAGAAACTAAATATAGATTGGCCCAGCAATGGTCCCTCAAAAAAAAGGCAGAGATCTTTTTATCATAAAATTCCTTCCCTAGGCCAAATAAACCAAATGGTGATGAGAGAAGCTTGTGATTCCCAACTTAACTCATCTAGGAAAGGCGACACTGAGGCACTGCAGAGAGGAGACTGCATGAGTACACTTTAGTAAGGACAGTTGAAACTATCTTGGAAATGTTTCCCACTGTGTTATTAGCACCAAATGTGAGCTGTTCTCCAGGTCTTTAACCATAGGGAACACTATTCAACTCAGATTCCAAAATTCCTCCTCTTGAGAGTCTACTCCTATATGTGAGGCTCCTACTCCCCTTACTGCTATAGAAAATAAGGGGAACAAGCTCCAGGGAAACAATTTTTAAGCAGTTATGGTCCCTAAAGTTTTCAGGTTCTGTGACATACTTCTCATGACTTCAAACCCTTTCTGAAGGAATTACATAAGAGGTTAGAAATGGTGAACATAAAGGTAACTTCAACCAAATAATACCTCCAAATATATTCAAGGATTTTAAGATTTTGTGTCTCCTTATTTTACTTAGGGCCAGACACCAAATTAATGCAGAACAGTGGCAAGTCCTCCTTTAAACGGACACAAATGGACCGTTTTATGAATGTCCTTGTGCTCTGGGTAAGTTATATTCACCCCCTGTATTTCTTTACAAATAGAAATACCTCCTTCCATACAAATAGCTCCTATTTCCAACTTGGAAATTACTTGTTGATAATTTTCTTTTTTTATATTAATTTTATTGAGAAAGAAGTAGCAATGAGACAGTTTCAAAACAGGTTAGTAAGACAGTTACAATAATTAATACATTACATATTGTTGTCTTTGTAGTAGTTATTCATAGTATAAGATGCAAACATGATATCTTGTCTAAACACTATTAGTTCAAAACTTCTTACTCATTGTTGATAATTTTCAAGCTCCATTTCCTAGAGGAGTCTTAGGGTCTGTAGCAATGTGAATAGGGAAGGTCAAAGGGGCTTTGTTGTGGCTCATTCCTCTGAAATTTTTGACTCCAAAAGAGCAGCTCCATGTTTATGTTTTATAAAATTTCAGTTGGAAAAACAGGGTGTTCACATATGTAAACATCGGATTGTCTCCCTTGTGTGAGAATTTGAAATAGTAAATAAGGCCTAATATGTATAATAGATATTGTGAAGTGGAAAGAAATTGCTCAAAAGGAAAAAGGAAGTAGGATGGGTGAAAGGGGGAAAGGACAGTAGGAAAAAGGGGAAAATGTAAGTCAGTTATGCTGTTAGTGTCTCTTAGATCGTTAAAAAGGAAGATTTGTGCTAATATTGACTAGGGAAATTTTTATGGCCATATCTTGTATCCTGAGCAACTACTTTAAAGATAACATGTAATATATTAAGTATTGTGATTCTATTATTTTGTTATGAAATTTTGTTTTATCTTTTCTCTATAAAATAAAAAAGGAAAATAGGGAGTTTATCTGCTAAAAATGAAATTTGAAAAGCTCTCCAAATACATAATAATCAGCTTTGATAATAGAAGTTTAGATTGAAGATTATAAATAACTTATGTCCATGCTATTTGATACAGATTGACTTTGTTCTTAACTGACAGAAATTAATTTCTTCACTTAAACAACTTCTTTGCATAGCTAAGCTGTTCCAGTGATGCCAACGCTTAATTCTGTGACTTCTCACTTTTATTTTTATTCCATTGCTAGACTACAACAATTACAATGCTTTTTCTTTCTGTACAACTCTCATCAATATCTGAACTATAAACTGCTGTTTCTCTTTTTACTTATTATGACAAACATCAAAACTCCTTTTCAAAACCCTTTTGAAGGTTATAAGGTTTTACTTTTTTTTCTTTTAGCTAAAATGTTGCTTTTCATTTTTAACTGAACAGCACTTTGTGTCTATCAATAATGCCAGGATGTCTTCTATAGCATTTTTAATTGTGCATAGAATTCTGTTGAATGCATATACCATAATTTATTTTTTAAATTTTTAAATTAATTTTATTGAGAAAAAATTGCAATGTGACAGCTTCAAGACAGGTTGATAGGAGAGTTAAAACAATTAATACATTGCATATTGTTGTCTTTGTAGTAGTCATTCATAGCACAAGATGCAGACCTGATATCCTGTTCATATACTATTAGTACAAATCTTTCTTCTTATTGGATTAAGAGAAAGTAGCTATATATCTATCCTATTTTGTATATACAGATACAAAATTGTCCTTCATTTATATCACCTTTTTTTGTTCAGTTTTGTCAGAGATGGGTATTCCATTGCCATCCAAATATTGTAGATTCATGAATTTATCAAACTATTCCAATATAGTCCAGTACTCCACAGTAGTAGTGGGTTATCCATAGGAATGGCAATGTTCGAATCTGATGACTTGAGCCTTCCACAGCTCAGCATATTAACATGGCTTCACTTTTCATACCTCGTTTCTACATTTTTCTGCTGGATAGTTAAGACCAAGATAAAGCAAGACCTATATAACAAGAAATGTAACTTTTGTATCTGACAAGGTCAGTCAAGTCCCCTCAGGATTTATACTGAAACCCTGTACAACACTTTGTAGAACCTTTGTCAGCGTCAGCCTTGTGGATGAGTCACGGCCATTGCTTGACCAATTTGCTCTCTGTGAAAGCCTGTGGGAATGTTTTCTCTCCATGTGACTCTCTTTAGGCACACACTACATCATCAGTCACATTCCTCTGTGACCCCATAATCTCCTTGATTAGAAAATTTGGGGCACAACTGAGTTATATGATGTTACAGTACAGGTTCTCCTATGTCCTGAGTCCTCACTGACTTTGAAAGGCTAGGGCCAAAATGTTGGCTGTCCTTACAACCCTTCTTTCTCTCTAATTTTTGGACTGTAAACTTAGGTTGTGAGAAGGTATAAGGTTTTAGAAAATTAGAAATAATTAATTCAGCCTGAGACTAGCACTAAGTATTCACAATCTTTCTTTTTCTACTACTGAGTGCATAGCTTTCAGCAGCTGAACAGAGTTCCATTTTCTGTTACTTAAGGAGAAAAGCAATCACAGCCAATAATTTAGGAAGAAAAAAAAAAAAAAAAGAATTTAGGAAGGAGCCAGGCATGGTGGCACATGCCTATAATCCCAGCTGTGATGTTATGGAAGGGAAGAATCACAAATTCAAGCCCAGCCTGGGCAATTTAGTGAGACTCTGACTCAAAAACAAATGGGTGAGGGGTAGGCTGAGTATGTAGTGCAGTACAAAGCCCTGGGTTTAATCCCCATTACCACCAAAATTTAAAAGACGAGAAAGCTTAATTTCCCTAAACTGTATACCTAAGAATGTTTAAACTATAGAGACAAGTATAATGAAATGTTCTGCAAGCATTAAAAAGAATGTAGGGCCGGGGAGATGGCTCAGTGGAATAAGCGCTTCCCTGGCAAGCGCAAGGGCCTGAGTTCAATCCCTGGTTCCGCAAAAAAAAAAAAAGAATATAGAGTCATATGAGCTAACAAAAGAATATATAATTAAATTTTACTATAATCCCAGTACTCTGGGAGGCTAAGGCAAGAAGATAGCTATTTTGAGCCCAACCAGGGCAATTTAGAGACTTACTGAGAATCAGAGAACTTAGTGAGACCCAGCCTTAAAATAAAAAAACAGCTGAATGCAAACATCCTGATTACCACCACCACCATCAACAACAACAAAAAAGTATTCTAGTGCCACCAAAAAACCCAAAACAAAAATCAGTAAGTGACATAGGTGGATGTGTTTTCAACATTAGGATTGCATAACATTAGCGAACAAACTAGTTCATGTGGTCTAGGCTTATCTTCAAAACAGGATATCTCTGATTTGTCTAGAAATGTTCAACTATTTGTGTACCTGTCAAAAGTTAATGACAGGGCTGGGGAGATGGCTCAGTGGAATAAACGCTTCCCTGGCAAACGCAAGGCTGTGAGTTCAATCCCTGGTTCCACAAAAAAAAAAAAAAAAAAAAAAAAAAAAAAAAGTTAATGACAGTACTTGACATCTGTAGAGGGATTTTAACTTCCAGAATATTTCACATCAATAATTATAGCCTTGCTACACTCAAGTGACAAGCAAGTCAAAAAGTATTTCTCCTCTTTTGCCATGTATGTCAGATGAGACAAAGTAGAGATAAATATCATTAAGTCCCACAAAAACATAATGGCAACAACAAGTCCATGATACATTAAGTCATACTTATTGATAATCTGTTTATGTGCCAAGCTTGTACCAGAAGTTGTAAGAATCATAAAAGCATATAAAAAACAGTTCTAGCCCTCGAAAATGTAAGTCTGTGGTGGAGCTTCGCCATCACTTTGGGCCAGTTGCTTTACATGCATCGGTTGACCCAGTTATATCTTTCCATCTAGACATAACTTTTCAGCATTAAAACTGGAAGAAATGACAAATTCAAAAGATCCTAAAGCTTCCAGAGAGAGAAGAAAGATCATATACCAGGATCAGGAATCAGGATGGTATTTGGCCATCTCAGCGTCTATGGCAAATCAAGGCCTGCAAAACCTGCCAGGAATTACTTACAGCCTCTAATTAGCAATCCAGTGAAACTATCAATAAGTTGAAGTGTAGAGAATATCCATACGTGCAAAGACCAAGAAAATGTACTTGTGAGTTACTCTTTCTTAGGAAGCTTCAAGAATGTCTACTGCAGGAAAACAAAAGCATAAGCCAAGAAAGCAGCAGCCACAACAGCCCAGAAGCATAGGCACAGGGAAGGCGGACCTCTAGGTCACAGTGTTGCCGAACCCTTGAGAGCTTTTAGAGTGTTTAATGATTGCAGCTGGTTTCAGCACACCTGCCACAGGTTCTCCACCAATGGAATAAGAGCTGAACACAGACCTAGAGAACAGCCAACACAGATCAGAGTGGGAGGGGACAGAGGGCTCTGTGCAGGTGTCTGCAGACAGGCGGTGTTCTCCGCTCAGGCTTCACAGCTGAGCAGCACACAGGCCATGCAAGTGCTGGGGAAGGTGCACTGGCAGAGTAGCAGCTTCAGGCACCACCGTGTTCTAGAAACCAGTAGGGTCATCATTCCAAAGTTATGAGTGAGTATGATTTTGACCAAGAAATATATATCTAGGAAAACGATAAATCGATTAAGAGTACAAGTCTATTTCTACCTTAGGACCTTTACTCTTACTGGCAATGTCTGCACTTGAGTCTTCATGGCTCGAAATTGAAATGATGCCCAAAATCCTGGGGTAACACATGGGTATGAAGGGCTAAAGGGCCAAGGACTACTTCTCTTTAAGGAGTTCTATTATAACAGAGATAGGCTTAGTATTAGCTATTTCAAGCTTTACCAGAACCACTTTTGCTAAATAGGAGACTGTTTGTTCTTCTTGTATCTGATTGGCTCTAGTAATAAACATATAACTTCTGAAACTTGTAGCAATAACTAGAATAATAATTTCTTAGGTTTTTTTCTTCCTATAGAAAGGAAACAAAGGGAAGCTCAGACTCATTCCATCACAATAATAAGATACATAGAACATCTTCAAGAGCTTAGATGGCCTCTGAGAAGGAGTAAAGAACAGACTGTCCCCTGTCCCTGCAGGGCCTGGGCTAATGAGGAGGAGCTGGCTGTCTGGAATTTGGTCTGATAAGAGGTGGTCTTCCTTTCTGGAGGCTCAGTCTGGGCAGATCCAGTTCTGGAGGACTCATCATCTGACATTGCAGGCAAGGTGCATCACAGAAACCATGGTGATTCTCAGCTGTCCTGGCAACAGGAATAAAACAAGGGTGCTGAAAATCACCTTACAATTCCTCCAGCAGCCTTGGAGCATTTCAGATGATTTATTCTAATCATTTTATCTTTCCTTCTGTTTCCACTGGTGCTGCTGGGGAGCAGGCTGGAGTAGTGGCATGTGCTAGAACATGATCTCATGTTTGATATTGCCCACAGAGGCAGAAAGGAAGGCTAGACCAGTGTAACTCACCTTTGAGGTTTGATCTGACATGAGATCCTCACCTTATGTAGCTCACTGAAGAGAAAGAAGAGAATGTAGGAATCAGCACTGTGCAGCATACTCAGTATGAGTCTGGAGTGGTTAAGAGTAAGAGGAAAAAAAATATTTTAAATGTATTTGGTACAAGGTCTCACTACGCAGATCAGACTCATAGTGATCCTTGGAATTACAGGTGTGTGCCACCATGCCTGGTCTCAGTTTCTGGCTCAGGGTTCCTAGAGGCGGGGCTGGTGCAGCATGTGGTGTCAGGGGATCAAGCCCTGGTCCCTGCACTCGCCTAAGTAGGCATTTAGTCCACTGAGTTATCTCGCCAGACCTGAGGAAATTTTATTGGTTTTCTCCCAACCTTCCTCAGTTTCATTCTCCCCAGAGTCATCCTCACCCAGCTCTCAAACCTGTTTTTGATAATGAATGTTAAGCATTTCTTATTACTATTTAAGGGATAAAGGTTTTGTGCTTATGTTCTTAAGATCTTTATCTTTTTTTTTTTTTTTTTTTGCCGAACCAGGGATTGAACTCAGGCCCTTGCGCTTGCCAAGGAAGCGCTTATTCCACTGAGCCATCTCCCTGGCCCCAAGATCTTTATCTTTTAGCTATATATTAAAATATTTACAGATGAAATTCTATAGTATGAGAGATTTGCCTAAAATAAGAAGAAAAGGAAGGGAAGATTTGGGTCGTATTATATTGGCTACAAGTGATAATTGTTTAAATTGGGTGATAGGTACATGGCATAGGGGGTGTTGTTGTACTATTTATGTGCTTTAATGTATGTTTTAAAATTTTTGTAATAAAAGTTTATTTTTAATCTCAGTTTCTCCGAATGAGCCCAGTCAGACCTGCTCCTTTTGTCTTGCCACTCATCTTTTAAGACTTCCCCATCAGTTGTACACAAATGAGACCGATGATCCCCTGGCAGTGAGGCCGATGCCCTGAGCTGGCCATACTTGGTAACCAAGAGCAGCAGTGGGAAGACTGCTGGTAGACTTAAGAGCTGGTTCACAATAACACACACATTTTCTGTAGAGGCACATAGGCATAGTGATGGTGGGAATGTAAAATGGTAAAAATACTGGGAAACATTTAGGAAATTAAAGCTTATGTCTTTGAAAAGACAGGTGATATACATGTACCAGCTCCCCAAGATGAATGTAATCATTATGTTCTGCAACATGTACTAATAAAAAATACTTTAAATGAAAAATTTAAAGAGAAACTTGTACATAATAATTATTCAATGGGTTGCAGTAGACAAAAACTAGAAACAACCCTAACATCCAAATAAAAGACAAATTAGTACACAAGTGTTCAATATCTACACAAAAATACTACTCTTCATTCTTAAAATGCAAGCTAGTCTAAAAATGGCATAAGGAAGATTAGTGGTTGCTTGGAGACCAGAAGGGAAGAGAGAAGAAAGAATTACAAAGAGGCACAAAGAAACTGAAGAATACTGGATATTATTGCCTTGAGTATAGTGACAGATTTGCAGATATGTGTATGTAGATATGCATATACCAAATATGTGCAATTTGTGGGGACAGTGACAGGGACGGGACTGTGGGGGAACAGTGACTAGAAGGAGACATAGAATGTGTGCTAATGAGATAAATACATACCTTTTTCATTACCACATTTACCCCTTTCTTTTGTTTTCCTTTTGTTTATTTGTTTTTTTTTGAGACAGGGTCTCTCTTTGTAGTGCAGACTGGCCTTGAACTCACTATATACCTCAAGGTGGCCTTGAACTTGCAGTGATCCTCCTGTCTCAGACTCCCAAGTACTGAGATTCCAGGTGTGTGCCACCACGCCCAGTTATCCCTTTTAATTATCATACATCCATTTCTTCCCCCATGTGTGACACCCCCATCATCTCTGAATCCTACCCTGTAACTGCATCCAATACAGATTCTTGGGTCTCTGGGTGATGCAAAGTCCCTCCATCTACTTCTAGAATTTTTCTGCCATGGGAAAATTATGTCTCTTCATCACTTGTATCTGCCACAATCATTTACTGGTCCTACTTCATTATTCGCAACGCCATGGTGCCCATTTCCCTCTACCTGTTTCTCTTGGTCTTGAGACAGGGGAGGAACTTTTTTATTCCTTACTCGCAATGACATCTGGCTCTACTCTTGGGAAGTTTCTCCCTTGTTTTTATCATCCTTGGCCAACTCAGAAGAGGTGGTGAATCAGTTCTTCTTGGGGACTTCATACTACCCAGCCAGTGTTATTGCTTTATTTAAGGCTCCCCTAAAAACCACAAACTTCTAAAGCCTGGGTTCATGGTTACATTAGTAATACATTCTCTCTAACACCTCCCAGGCTGCTCATTTATTTTTCTCCCAATTAGTTTCATATGCTAGGAACCAACCCCCCACCCACACACACACAAACAAACAAAAATTCTTGTCTAGGCATAGTTCTGAAATTCGTCTTATTTCCATGCCTCCTTATACTTCATACCCTACCTTCTCCATTCAATAGCAAGAAAGTGGAGGCTATCTGAAATAATAGTCATTGGGGAAAATACATTGGCTTTAGCCCAAGTTTTGTCTCAGGCTAAGTTATTTTATTCAGTGGAAAAGAATCACTGGGCCTTGTTTTCTAAAGGTCCCAATCTCTTCCTATTCATTGTCTAAAAGTTATATTCCTTTGATAGCCTAAATTTCTTTACTCCATTTCTTTTGTGCTTTTAAAACTTTGCCAAGGGCCTGACAGATAGCTCAGCAGATTAAAGCACCTGCTTAGGTAGACACAGGGCCTAGGGTTTGATCCCTGGGCTACTGTGCTGGGTCTGACCCCAGGGTGCACTGAACTGGCCATTGAGACTGGGTGTGGTGGTACACACCTGTAAACGCAGTGCTTGGGAGGCTGAAAACAGAAGGATCACTATATGTCCGATCTGTGTAGTAAGACCCTGTAGACCCTGTACTGAATACAAAAAAAAAGAAAGAAAAAACTTTGCCAAAGACAGCCAATAGTAACTGACGTACTAACACTTGAATCCTTTCTAACCACTTCCTTTTGAGCTGTAGGCTTGGGAGGCACACAGTGTACCTTCCAGATTTACCAGCTTAGTTACTGTTTACATCCTGCTGTCTTTCTATCCTTTTATGTCCATTTTCTTCATTACCCACTCACTACTTGCTAAGCCAGCATCACTCATCCTAGATTTTTTAAAAAGTGACACCTCACTTCAATAATGGAATAATCAAGGGATATGTCTCAGAAAATGTTTCTCCTACTCAATAGCTAGGTGACTTTAGTCAGAACATTTTTCAACTCTTAATATCAAGTTTCTCATTTACTGTTAAAAGTGTTGTAATAGGGCCAGGGAGATGGCTCAGTAAAATAAGCGCTTGTCTGGCAAGTTACAAGGGTCTGAGTTCAATCCCTGGTTCTGCCAAAAAAAAA